ATCGACATTACTTTGCTCATAGAGATGTGGAAAAATCAACACGAAAAATCAAAAATTGTATTTACCACTACAAAATTTTGGAGACTGATCCGTTATTAATTAGAATTCAACCACCAAGATGAAGGTTAAGACTATGAGATAAAACCTATGAAGTGCACTGTTACTATATGGCAGTAGTGTAAAAAAAATTTTAAAAAAATCCAAAATATGTGAAGTGTACTGCCACTATATGACAGGAGTTAAAAAAAAATCCAAATTCTGTATAGGCGGATGGATAAAGACAAGCTTCTATAATTAATTGTAGTCATGGAGGAGAGTAATGGTTGCATAGAGGAGTGTAATGGTGCATAGAGGAGTGAAATTGACTACTGGGAAGTGTAATGGTTGCATGAAGGAGTGGAAGGGACTATTGGAAAGTGTAATAGATGCATGGAGGAGTGGAAGGGGCTGCTAGGATGTGTAATGTCCGCATGGAGGAGCGGATATGGCTACTGGGAAGTGTAACGGTTGCATAGGGACTCTACAAAGAGACTTTAAGTCCTACATGGAAGTGGACCAGCTTATAAGCTTAGCCAAACACCCTTTTAGTCGCCAAGCTTTTTCACCGCTAAAACCTAAAATATAACTAATTTTAGACAAATAATAATTTTCACTAGTTGCCTACAATATTAGAGATGAAATTAGTTCGTCACCGGTAACTTTAGATATTGTGACTAATGTTACTAAATAACTAGCGACAATCCATTTTTTTGGTGGAAAACTTGAGTAGATAAAACTATCGCTACGAAATTTTTGTTTCTTCACTAAATGTATGTGCGTGTGCATTTAAGTACGACTCTAATTTTTGTTCCAAAAAGATAATAACAGTGATGAACTTTTTATGCTACCTAATAATTTCATAGGTAAAATAGAGATGATACACCGATCGTCACTAATTTTTTTATGCAATTAGTGACAAAAACTAAGGTTGCAAAAAATATAAAACTTTTAGTGAGGAAACTATTTCGTAGCGAAAATATAACTAATTTTAAGACGAACAATTATTTGTCACCAATTGTCTACAACATTTAGTGACGAAACTAATTTATCACCAATAATATTAATTTTGTGGCTAATATTAATTAATATTTGGTGCCAATTCATTTTTTTTGTGGGAAACTTTAGTAGACAAAATTTTGCTATAAAATTTATGTTTTGTCACTAAAAGTATGTGCCTCGTGTATTTAAGTACGAAATATAATTTTAGTCACAAAAAATGGATAATTAGTGACAAATTTTCTATTGTAGCTAATATTTTCGTGGTTGAAAATCACATTTGTTGTAGTGGCTTCTTAGTTGAAGCACTATATATTTAAGTGTTAGGGTTAGAAAGTAATACAATATTATTTTAGTGATACAGTAATAAACGAAAATATAGTAGTTTAATCGTATTTTTTTAGTATACTATGCGTATATTTTAGTTTATTTCGTTTAATTGGTATAGTATATGTATATGAGTATAAATTGCTTTATGAAAAGTAGTGTAGCATGCATGTGTAAATGTGAAAGAAGCATGGGGAAGGTAAGACAATTAGACTAATGAGAGAGAATTGGAGGAAAAAAATTAAATTAAAAAACAAATATGCTAAAGAATATATCTGGAAAACGAAAATGCTTAAATATCCATTATGCCCTTAAAAGCCGTGCGAAGTTACCATAATACCCCCATTCTGGACATTTGGCCCATTCTTAGTTTGTCCAAATATATTTTCCATAATTTAAATACTTTACTCTCCTGTTAACTACGTGAAAAGTTTTAAAGAAATAGTTTCCAAATATATTTTCCGTAATTTAAATACTTTATTCTCCTGTTAACTACGTGAAAAGTTTTAAAGAAATAGTTTTTTTTCCTTTATAATTTTAGTTCCTTGGAACTTGATATGTACGTTATTTTTTTATTGTTTACAATGATCCTTCCACAGGTTCACCTAATTATTAGGTAAGCCTTAATTTCACAGTCGAGAGAAATGTCTGTCCAAAAGCCTTATAAGGTGGATAAAAGGAATCATAACTTAATTTTTTTTGGCTAAAATGTATACTAGTTACAATAAAGAGTAGATGACTTTTAACCGCGTATCAGCTGAAGAGTATCGTACAAAGTGAAAAAGACAATGTAAATGATCACACAATTACCTTGTATGTTACGCAATTTTAAATGCATCGTGTAACCCTTTGGCAAAGTAGTATACAGCCTCCATATTGACAAAGTGGAATCATGACCACAGACATCATGGTCTTCTTTTACACTATCTGAAAGCATTGAACTTCGTCAAGTCATCATTCCAGACATGTCATTTTCTCAGACATAGATTGTGCAATACATTTATGAATCTCTCTCCCCCCCCCCCCCCTCT